CATCCAACCCCATCCCCATAAACACCCATCCATCCATCCATCCATCCATCCATCCATCCCCATAAACACCCATCCATCCATCCATCCCCATAAACACCCATCTGTCCATCCATCCATCCCCATAAACACCCATCCGTCCATCCATCCATCCATCCCCATAAACACCCATCCATCCATCCCCATAAACACCCATCCATCCATCCATCTCCACCCACCCCTGATGCCTCTCACTCACTCTCTACACCCTCCCTCCCCCCCCAGGAGCACCTTCTTCTCTCCATCCTGCCCGCGTACATCGCCATGGAGATGAAGGCCGAGATCATCGAGCGGCTGCGGGATGGGGGGCATCAGGAAAGTCCAAACAATTTCCACAACCTCTACGTCAAGCACCACAAGAACGTCAGGTACCGAACCCCCATCTCCACCCCACGCCGTGAGGGGGCAGCAGGGCGTGGGGGGGTGGGGGGGGTGAGTGTTGTGAACCCATGATCCCCTTTTATAAGCACCCTATTTGCTGAGGGCTGCCAGGGCGGTGGAGCAGGGTTAGGGGGTGTCTCCCCGACTCTCACGCCTGCGCCCAGGACCCTGATGCTGTCTCCCCACTTCCTAACCCCCCCCCAGCATCCTGTACGCCGACATCGTGGGGTTCACAAGGCTGGCCAGCGAGTGCTCCCCGAAAGAGCTGGTCCTGATGCTCAATGAGCTTTTCGGCAAGTTTGACCAGATTGCCAAGGTAAGACAGCCGGATCTCCCCTCCCCTCCCCCCCAAACCCCCCCTCCAGCCTCCCAGAAGCTCCTTACACCTCTGCACCCCTCATCAGGAGGCCCTTGCCCCCAGCACCTCCCTGGGACACCTCCACCCCACTGGGGACCCCCTCCTGCATCCTGTGGGACCCCCACCCCCAGTACCTCCAGAGACACCCCCCAAACTCCACAGGGATCCACCTCCTACACCGTCCCAGAGATCAGCCCCCTTCTGTGCCATCCCTACCCCCTTTCATTCCACAGGGTGCCCTTGTACCCACATGGGAACCCCTCCGCTCCCTCCCCGCAGGGGGAGATGAGGACCCCTGCCTTCCAGAGACCCACTGTCTCAGACTGAGACCCCTTAGGGATCCCATGCCCCCTCCAGCCCAAAGACCTCCTACTTTCTCCTGGGGGCTTCCAGGGGACCCCCTCTCCCCTGCCCGAAGCCCAGATCTCCAAGGATCGGCCAGAGGTCGCAGGAGGGAGGGATTTCATATCTCTGTCATAGACTCATAGACCTGAAGGGACCATTGTGATCATCTAGTCTGACCTCCTGCACATCTCTGTAGTGGCTCAGAGCCCTCCCCATCTCTGGACATTGGAGATATTGCCAGTAGCTGACATGGATGAGGCCGTATGCCATCGGACGCAACCTCATCAGACCATCTGTGAGTCCGTGACACCATCCCCTCCAGAAACTTATCCAGCTCAGTCTTGAAGCCAGTTAGGTTTTTTTCGCCCCCACTTCTCCCCTTGGGAGGCTGTACCAGAATTTCACTCCTCTGATGGTGAGAAACCTTCATCTAATTTGAAGCCTAACCTTGTTGATGGACAGTTTAGATCCATTTGTTCTCATGCCAGCTTTGGTCCTGAATGTCAAGAACACCTCTCCCTCACCTGGTGTTTATCTCTCTCTTGTGAGCGCTGACCGAGCAGACCAGCAACTCAACACGAGCTCGCAGTGCAATGCTGGGGCAAAACGGGCGAACACGATCCTTGGACGTAGAGCAGCAGAGCGGCGAGCGGGGGAATGGAGGTGATTTTTACCTCACTGGGGAGAGCGCCACTGGGACACCACATCCAGTTCTGGTGCCGCCTCTTACAAAGGACATTGGGAGCTTGGAGCAAGGGTAGAAAAGAGCCACAAAAATAATTTGGGGGCTGGAGAAAATGCCTGAGACTTAAAGAGCTCGTTCTGTTGAGCTTGTCAACAAGAAGACTGAGATGTGCAAGGACCTCCCTGGGGAGAAAATGCTGGGCACTAAAACCCTGTTTCATCTACCAGAGAAGGAACAAGAACCCATGGCTGGAAGTTAAAGATGGAGAAATTCAAATTGGAAATAAGGTCTGAATTTCTAAGAGTGGAGGTGATTAACCAATGGAACAAACTCCCAAGGGAGGTGGTGTGGGGCTTCCCCATCTCTTAAAGGCTTCAGATCCAGGCTGGAGGTCACTCTGTTTTGGCCAAACCCAAGTGACTGGGTCACTACAGGGGGAACTGGGTGAAGATCCCTGGGTATACAGGAGGTCAGACTTGGTTATCCTATGGTCGCTTCTCGCCTTGAACTCTGAATATGGGAGGAGAGGACCAGAATGGCCTTGTCACGAAGGACGGACCCTCTCTTCCCTCTCTCTCTCTAGGACAATGAGTGCATGCGCATCAAGATCTTGGGTGACTGCTACTACTGCGTCTCGGGCCTGCCAGTCTCGCTCCCCAACCACGCACGCAACTGTGTCAAGATGGGACTGGACATGTGCCGGGCTATCAAGTGAGTGTGGATGGCTGCCAAGAGAGACCCACACCTCTGGGAGTACTTGACGCAGGTGGCCCAGCCTTGGGTTGCCATGACGGGCTTCAGAGCCTGCTCTAATGGGCTGCGTCCCCCACATCTTGTCCTCCCCCAGGAAGCTACGGGATGCCACCGGTGTGGACATCAACATGCGGGTCGGGGTGCACTCGGGGAACGTGCTGTGCGGGGTCATAGGGCTCCAGAAGTGGCAGTACGATGTCTGGTCCCACGATGTGACGCTGGCTAACCACATGGAGGCTGGAGGAGTGCCAGGGTGAGAGAAGGGCGTGGGGGTGCCCCCAATGGTGCATGATTCATGGGTGTTTGTGTGTGTTGGGCCACCACCGGATGGTGCATGGAGGTACTCCATATAGTATGTGCGTGTATTTGTGTGTGTGTTTAATCCCCTGATGGTGAATGGAGGAACTGCATATCTGTGTATGTTGTGTTGTGCTGCCCCCTTATGAGGAATGGAGAAAGTCCATGTAGTGTGTTGTGTTATGTTGTGTTGTCACCTAATGGTTCATGGAGGAACTGCATATCCATGTGGCACTGCCCCCAAGTGGCATGTGGGGGAATTATATGCCTCTGTGCTGTTGCCCTCTCTTGGTGATGGAAGGACTATCCTGTGTCTCTGAGGGGGGTGCTGCCCCCTGCAGGGAAAAGAAGGAATTATGCCTGGAATTTTCTAAGCCTCTCCAGGAGAAACGGGGCATCAGCTTGGAACATCACAGCCTGCATATGTGTGTGTGGCGGGCTGCCCCCTACTGGTGCATAGAGGAATTGAACATTTGTGTGGCGGGCTGCCCCCTACTGGTGCACAGAGGAATTGCATGCCCTCTCTTCCACAGGAGGGTGCATATAACAGAGGCCACCTTGTCTCACCTGGGAGGGGTCTATGCTGTGGAGGAAACCTGTCGCTGGCAGCGTGACCCCTTCCTGAAGGAGAACAAAGTAAAGACGTTCCTGGTCATTGACCCCTGGGTGAGTTTATGGTGCCAACAGGACACTTAACTGGTGCTGATGCAAAGATTCAGCGCACAAAGGGTTAATGGTGGGGGTGCGGGGTGGGAAATGGGATAGGGGGCTTTCTCCTCTAGGGGGCGCTGGTTCCCATCCAGCCCCTAGGATGGGGGACGGACTGGCTCAGGGGGGCAGGGAATGGGATAGGGGGTGAGTGTCTCTCTCTCTCTGGCTGTTCTGTTGTTCTCCATGGCACCAGGCGGGAGCGGAAAGCTGCGACACCCTGTCCCCGGTGCCTGGGGAGGGCCCGAAGATGAGGGCGTCGGTTCGTATGACCCGCTACCTGGAGTCCTGGGGGGCCGCCAAGCCCTTTGCCAACCTCAAGCACCTCGATACCATCCCAGCTGATCAGCCAGGATTCACCAGGAACAACCATTCGGTGTGTCCAGCAGGGGGAGACGTTTGACATGGAGTGAGCCCTGCCGAGCCCCTTCCAGACCCCAGCCCTACTCCCTGCAGCACGGTGCCCCCTGCCGAGCCCTCCCCCCACACTATTTAATCAACCGAGCCCCAGTTCTCAGTTCCTTCACACATCACTAGGGGGCAGCAGCACAGACTGACACATGCCATGCTTTAAAGGGGTAGCGCAGCCACTCACAAGTGGGAGCTGTCTTTCCCTGAGTCCCCCAATCGGGGCAGCACAACACCCTATAAATCTGACCCCCCCCTTCCCTCTTCTCTCCACAGGATAGCTCTCTGGGGTCCCTGAACCAGTCAAAGACCATGGAGCGGTGAGGTGTATCCCCTTCCTGTCCCTTACAATGTCAGGGGGGCATGAATATCTTTGGGGGAGGCAATAAGGGATGGGATCCTTGCTTGGCCCATAGACCCCTCCACCTATGAATCAGCGAACCCCAAATTGTGATGCTCATTCTTCTTCCCCCGCCTTGGTGGATTTGGGGGTCTTGGTTCCAAGGGGTAGAAATGGGGGTGGCTGTGGGGGGGTTGAGGGTGTTGGGTTCAGTGGGGTTTGGAGGGTCAGTGGGGGGGTCACTTTGGGGGTCAGGCTGTGGGGAAATGAGGAATTGGGGGTCAGTGTAGGGTGATTTTTGGGGGGTCAGGCTGGGGGAAGCTGGCGAATTGCGGCAGTGTGGGGGAGATATTAAGGGGTGGAGGCTGGGGGCACAGTGGGGATTTTTAGGGGGTCAGTGTGGGAGGTGATTTTGGAGTAGTGGGCTGCATTTGGGGATTCCCTGGCACTGGTCCCCTATGGTCATATTGGGGCGCACCCCACTACTGCCTCCTGGGGTCACTGTCCCCTATAGCAGCGGTTCTCAACAT